CACACCCAGTCACACCCAGTCACACCCAGTCACACCCAGCCACACCCAGCCACGCACACCCAGCCAGCCACACCCAGCCACGCACACCCAGCCACACCCAGCCACACCCAGCCACACCCAGCCACACCCAGCCACACTCAGCCATATCCGGCCATAACTCATCTATACCCAGCCATGCCCAGCCACATCGCCCACCGACCTATCCAAACACACGCACACGCTTACATACACGCATGTACACCAACCCGCGTACAGGGACAGAAATCACCCCTAGACGAGCAGTTACGCCTGTTCTTTTGGGCGCGTTGACCGTGAACTCTGAATCTCTAAGCACTGGCTATCATGGTCGCTACGTGAATAGGCAGCGGTGTTTCCGTGTGTTGGATCGTTTGCTCAGATCGAGAAGAGTTCTTAATGCTTGCTGCGGGGATACAGGGCAACCTACTACAGGGCGGCAATGGTATGTTGTGGGATTTATCCTATGTGCCTTCGATCTAAGACAGTCGTGGGGGCGTGTCTCGATTCCCTTACGCCTTAACAACGGGGGAATGCTTGCTACGGCGATACAGTGCAACCTACTACGGGGCCGTGTCTCGATTCCCTTACGCCACCATAACAATCGGGTGGAGAATGTTCGAGTGAACGAGGCTGCGGGCGGGTAGGGGCGGGTAGGGGGGGGTTGGAAGGGATCCTTCACTGCTGAAGTGCTTGGGAGACAAAAGGGACACTACTGTAAGTACGGAAAGGCGGGAGGGTAAAGGGGCTACTTCTCTCCTCGAACAACCGAATTTTTTTGGAGTTACTGCCCTTGTTGTCTCATGGGGGTGAGTATTGCTTGTGGTAGGTAGGTAAGTAGGTGGCTTACAGCCGCTGATGGGTGCCTGAACCTTGTACCTTTGTCGCCGCCGTAATATGCTCTTTCCTTGTGTCAAGACTGCTATGATCGTTTTCATTGTTGGTATTGGCGGGAAAAGAACTGACGAGTACATGCTTTCTTGTTTTTGGAAAGCGGATTTGCAGCAGTGCGTGTGTTTTTATGTTCATTAATCTTGGACCTGAAAAGAAGAGGATAATGATAGTCATATCGATAAGAACGTATTCTTCCTCATGATGAATACCGCTAAACGAGCGAGGAACAAGTCAAAAACGTTGCATTATGTTCCCTTAATCTTTGAAGTGAAGTGAAAAGAAGAAGAGGATAACGATAGTGGTCATACCTACCTATAAGAACGGTATATTCTTCTTCATGGCGGATACCGACCGCTAAACGAGGGAGCCATAAGTCAAAAGTTGCAGCAATAAGTAAAACTATGGGGTATCATAAGCTGTGTTCTAGGAGACGATCAACTAAGGGGGGGTAATTCAAGATGAGGAGAAAGATTTGCAGTAAGAGAGAGAGAGGGTAAGTGGATGGGCTGTATTCACTATTGTTCGGCCTATCAAACCTGAACAGTAGGCGGTGGTGGGTGCCGATCTTGAAGTTGTGGCCTTCGGCGAGATGACGTGGGTATGAACGGTGAGTGTCGCATGATGGACTATGGTATCATAAGCTGTGTTGTCTAGGAGACGATCAACTAAGGAGGTAATTCAAGATGAGGAGAAAGATTAGGGGGGTAGTTCAAGATCAGGAGAAAGATTAGGGGGTAATTCAAGATGAGGAGAAAGATGTGCAGTAAGAGGGAGAGGGTAAGTTAATGAACAGTATTCACTCTTGTTCGGCGTATTAAACCTGAACGCTAGGCGGTGGCGGCGGACGATCTTGAAGTTGTGGCCTTCCCCGAGATGACGTGGATACGACTGGCGCGAGTAGCATGATGGGGGGGAAGAAGTCAAGCCACCGAGATGACGTGGATATGACTGGCGCGAGTAGCATGATGGGGGGGAAGAAGTCAAGCCAGCGTTCGCCTGGCGGTGATAGACGTCGCTGAATCTGCTTGCTTGCTTGCGTGCGTGCTTGATTGCTTGCTTGCTTCTTTGAACAACAATAATGATCGGGTGACATTGCGACCGGTCGCTGGATATTAACGATAACGATCAATAGTGACAACGGAAGAATAATTACGGGCGACGAGGCTTTTATGTCATTGCCCGAGGAAAACAGCAACGTGATGCAGGGCGCAACGAACTACCCAGGCCATGATTAGCCGGTAAGGGTTAGATCCCACTACACTGGATTATTCGTTTTTCACCCTCGATTACGAAGATCAACGGTCAGAAATGAGCAATAGGGGCTGCCGTCTTCACCCGAATAGAACGCCCGGTCATTATAGCCGTACTTGATGCATTTTTCAGTCCAGATACGGGCATAATTACCGGGCGTTCTATTCGGGTGAAGACGGTAGTGGGATCTGGCCCTTAGTCGGCGAGAAATGAGGTATTGGTTCTGGCGCTGTGATTGCTCGAGACTCGTTTCAGTGAGCGGGTCTGCTGTGGACGTCGAAGTGGTGAGTGGACAGTGTCAGTAATGCATACAAGGAAGAACAGACTAGAGGTCGCTGGGGATTTAGCGCATATATATATGGCACTCATTCGTGCAGCTGCCCAGTGGGAACTGTGGGATGGTGGGACGATGAGTCAGGTCATTTTCTACGTGAATGAATTTTTGCGAGCGTTGTCGAATCATACTTTATTCTGGATTATTGACCGACTCTCGTGCGACGCCTGTCGGGACAGAGACGCGGTGCGCCTTGGCTGTGGAATGCATCATCTATGCCATAGCCACTATCAATCTATTGCGACTGCCGCCGTCTGTCCTGAAGGGTGTCCAACATTTCCTCATTGTACACATCCCTATCACCCAGATATACGTTGTCCCTATTGTACCCAAGGACGCTATCAGAACTGTATGATGCCGCACTGTGATGAACGTCCTGCCGTGTTTTTGA